GATTGTGATAAAACATATATAGGCCAATCCAGGCGAGCCATAAAAACAAGGTTCAAAGAACACATAGCCCATTTGAAATATGGCAGGTTAGATAAATCTTGTGTAGCTGAACATATGTTCAATCACAATCATAACACATATATTACTAACCTCAAATTAGTTAAGCAAGTTGATAATATTAGAAAATTAGACGCACATAAAAGCTTAGAGATATTTAAGAATAGTTATAGAGTAATAAATACACAAAACACTAAAATTCGCAAGAAGATCTAATTTCACCACCTAGGTGGCCAGGTAGCCGTGCGGACAGAGTGTCTATATTCTAATTCGCATTCGCTTGCCGGTCGTGGGTTCGATCCCCGTCGACTGCAGAAATTTTTCTGATGGCCCAAGAAAGTGTTTGGGATCACACGTTAAAAGGTAAGGCCCCCGTCATTCCTTGCTCGCACAAGACTTTCGAAGACTTTTGAGGGTTGCTCGTAAGGGGGCAACCAAATGACGGACAAAACAAAACAAACAAATTCAGGTGACCTAGGATTTACGAACGAATATCTGCAGGAATGTAAAATTTTGTAGTATGGACAATTAACTGTAACAATAGCTGGCTGCATATAATTCGTTAGAACGTATTCCATCGGAATTCGGAATATATTCGATCAAAATGTTATTTCAACGGAACCGTATATTAACGCATTGATTCATCGACATGTGAAACATCATAATGAAATCCATCATGTAGTGAAATCACGAGTAGGTACTATGTAGGAACTTAAAAAACATCATACCGTATTTCATTCGTATGGTAATTCATCATAATCGCATCCTAACAGGACGGTACCTCAACAAAACCGTATTTTATCAGGAAGCCAATTCATCAGAACTATATTTTGTCGCGGAAGTGATCTGTTAGATTCGTATATTGGTGAGATGGTGATATACCATAAACGAAAATCATCATGATGGTAATTAATCAGAGCTGTCATTCGTAGAAATTTCATCTTGTCAAAAGTGTACTCTGTCGGGATCGTGGAACATCATAATCGTATTCTTACGGAACTGTAAATCATCAGAACTACATTCCCAAGGAACCGTAATTCATTGGAACGGCCATTCATTGGAACCGTATTGTATCACAACGGTATTTTCTCAGAATGGTACTCTATATAAATCATGAAGAATCACAACATATCAGACCATAGTATATTGACATTGTGATGAAGTTTTCTGTAAAATGTCAACTCTTTGTCGCTACGAAATACTGTTCTAATGGGATATGGTTCCGATGGAATGCAGTTCTGATGGATTAGTGTCGTATTGAAATACGGTTCGAATGAATTAATATCCCGATGGAATACAGTTCCTCTGGAATAGGGTTCTGATGGAATACGGTTCTCATAGAATATGTTTTCGATGTGAAACGGTTCTGATAGAATACCGTTTCGCTGAAATACGGTTCTGAATAATTACTGTCGCTATGAAATACGGTTCCTACATACCCAGGCAGCACCAGATATTCCATGAATCATCCTATCATATACCTTTTGGAATATTGGAATATTGTAATATTCTGGAATATCTGTGGACTATTCTTTGAATATGCAAATGGGAATTCCTTAGGTATTCATAGATAATCTCCGAAAGAACATTCAATGTTGAATGTTTCTGGAATATTCCAATAAACATATCCTAAAATATAAGAAGGGGATCCAAGAGGGAATCGAACCCGTGACTTCCAGACTATCAGAGCAACACCTCAACCACTAGATCAGTAATCGAATTGAATAATCTTGTACACATCTATTATTTGTAAGTGTTCAGAATCAGATCTTCTCAAAATCTCCTTACATATAATTTATGTATGATGCTCGCATCTCTGAAATAATAATTGACGTTCATGCTATATCATTTCATGAATATACAACACAGAGAACATTCAGTTGAGAATATTTCATGAGCGTACAGGGTGATTCACCATAATTGTCCCCCCCTCTAGCTCACTTTATTTTTGACCCGATTTAAAAATTTGAAGGATGATCTAAAATGATTTCTCAGAATTTTTTTTCCCGTTTCATCAGGAAATACAGGGTGCTCGGAACAAATGATCTACAGAGTACTACTCGATTTTTCCAAATGGAACACCCTGTATTTCACTGTATTTTTAGATTCTTCCTGAAGAGCTGATTTCATCAATGCATCACACTTGGGGTCTAGCGGGAATGATAACAGAGATATAGGGTGTTCAAAATCGAGATTTTTCAAGTTTACGATTTTTTTGTCTCGAAACTATTCATTATTGGTCGAAACGGCTCCTTTGTTTCCATCTTAATTTTTGATTGACTGTCTATTGAGACTTGATTGGAACATTTACAGGGTGGTTCAAGATTCAGAATTCTGATCACCCTGTATCTGTTCCAATTATTAAATTTCAGTAGATAGTAAATCAAAAGTTGAGATATGGACATGAAAGCCGTTTTGACCGATGATGAATAGTTTCGTCTCAAAAAAATCCTAAAGTTGAAAAATCTCGATTTAGAACACCCTATATCTCTGTAATCATTCCCGATAGACCCCAAGTGTGATACATTGAGAAAATCAGCTTTTCAGAGAGAATCTAAAAATACAATGAAAAATAGGGTGTTCCATTTAAAAAAATCAAATGGTACCCTGTAGATCGTTTGTTCTGATGTAGCGGAAAAAAACTCAATCAAAAATCATTCAAGATGATATTTCAAATTTTGAAATCGGTTTAAAAATAACTGAGCTAGAGGGGGGGGGACATTTATAGTGAATCACCCTGTACAACACAGAATGAATACCTGAATATATTACTGAAATATTCCAATTGGAATGTACCTTGGATGTTCCAGAGGCATGTATATATTCTAGGAATATTCGGTGGATATTCGGAATATAATCCTCGTTTTGCGAGCATACTCAGAGAAAATAATATTTGGTAGAATTCCATGGTTCCTCAAAGTGGAGTCAAGTATTAAATACTAAATGATACACAAAGTCATCTCTACGACATTTAATGTGATTAACACATCAAAAATTGGAACATGTTTCGAACATATATATGTCTATCATCAGCCATATATTGGAATTACATAATCGTCCTCAAATTGAAACAGTTATCAGTACAGTGTGTTCAGTTTTCGATGCTTTTGCCTGATATCTCAGTTATCTTTAGAGATAGAACCTTGCGGTTTTCGCGATCCTGTACCACTTTTTTGTGAAACTCAAGATGGCCTAATCAGATTTTGCAAGACTGTTTCCGTTTATGAGATACAGGGCGATTTTGAAAACTTATACTTTTTGGACCCCCTCTATATCCACGAAGTTTCTCAACAAAAATGTCAAATCAAAATCTTGTCGCATAGAGAATTTCACGCATAATCCAGTGGCGCACTTAATTTTTTTTTTCGGGGTATGGTTTTGGAGATACGACTCAAACTTATGATTTTTCAAATGGAATACCTTGTATTTCATGAGCTCATCAAATTCCTCATTTTTTTGTCTTCAAAATGATATATTATAACGAATGAATATAAAATTTTCAAAATTGCTCAAAATCACTAAAATATTGAATTTTGATAGTTGGTTATGGATTTTTCTTATGAAACACGTTCCAATTGAAGAAATATTTTTTCAAATTTTTCCATGGAGAGGTCAAAACCAATATCAACACTTATTCAACACTTATTAATTAACAAAACACCAAACTTGGGTACCTGATAGCGACAAATAAATAGCAATAAAAAGTTCATAATGTAGAATATGCACCTCATTGAATATTTACTGAAATAATTGAATTGCGGAATTATTCAGTAACTTCTTATTGACATGTTCAGATTGATATCCATTTTCCCCAACATACAGTTGAAAATTTTTCCCAATACTTCTTAATACAGTGAGTGGCCAACATACTTGAAGAACTTTGTGCAACAACAGAGGCAGTTTTTCAGGAATAACAAAGACATCTTTCAATGATTAATATGTATTGAGAAAGTTTGTGATGAAAAATGGACAACAATTTGAACAATTCAATTAATAAATCACTGAATAATTTCGAAATTCAATTGTTTTAGTAAATATTCAATCAGGTGCTTATTCTACATTATAAACTTTTCATTACTATATATTTGTGGATATCAGGTATCTAAGTCTTGTGTATTGTAAGATAATTAGTGTTGAAATTGTAATTTCCCCCTTCATGGAACAATCAAATGAAATATTCCTCCAATTGTAAATTTCTTCATATTAAAATTCCTCGAAAAACCCATAGCCCACTATTAAAATTCCATGTTTTAGTGATTTTTTAACATTTTTGAAGATGTTATATCCATACATCATATATCATTTCGAAGTGAAAAAAATAAGGAATTCAATGAGCCTATAAAATACAGGGTGTTCAATTTAAAAAATCATAAGTTTGAGTCGTATTTTCAAAACCACACCCCGAAAAAAATTTTTTTGTGCGCCACTGGATTCTGCATAAAATTCTCTATGGGTTGAGATTTTGGTTTGACATTTTCGCTGATTAACTTCGTAGATATAGAGGGGGTCCAAAAAGTATATATTTGCAAAATCGCCCTGTATCTCATAAACGGAAACAGTCCTGCAAAATCTGATTAGGCCATCTTGAGTTCCACAAAAAAGTGGCACAGGACGGCGAAAACCGCAAGGTTCTTTCTCCAAAGATAACTGAGATATCATGCAAAAGCATCGAAAACTGGACACACTGTACAATCAACAAGAGCTATTAGAATAAGAGTGCTAACATGGGGATAAAAAAAATATTTAATGTGATGATGTGTTAATCACATTAAATGTCGTGGAGATGACTTTGTTGTGTGTATCATCAAGTATTTAATACTGAGAGAATATTCTAGGGATATCCAGTGCTTTTTGGGTAATCAATGTCCCGATTGCATACAGTTCCAATCTCGTTTCCAATGAAATTCGGTTCCGACGAAACACGATTCCGATATTCCACTCACCTTTCTTGTGTCTGCAATTATTGAAGTTGCACATGCTGACCGCCTGTCCCATGGATCTCCTCGGCCTCCGATCGCTCGCGCAGGGCCGTATCGAGGGGGGCGGCGACCGCCCCGCCCCCCCGCCTACTGCCACCCCCCGCGGACACGCCCCCGCATCGCGCCACCACCCCCGCACCCTCACCGTCGCCCGCTTCACCCTACCGACGACGCCACTGCCCTTGTCGGGGAAGATGGCGAGGCTGCCCTTGTCGGGGAAGATGGAGAGGCTGCCCTTGTCGGGGGAGATGGCGAGGCTGCCCTTGTCGGGGGAGATGGCGAGGCGAACGTAGCGACGCCACTCGGCCCTTATCGAGGTCCTTTCGGCCCTTATCGAGGTCCCTTCGGCCCGCGTCGTGCCTTCGGCGATACGCCTGAAGAGGTCCACGGTGTGTCGGATGTGGGTTCTCGGGGGAGCCGTTTTTGATGGTGGATGGGGAACCAGATGGACCATATACGCGGTTTCTTCTGCTGGAACTTTCTGGGGCTGCTAGGGCGAAGACTTCCCTCTTTGACACTACTAAAGACGAATTCTCTCAGACTAACCAACCATTCATACATTTCACGATATCAACAACAATTCATACATAAATCATGAAAAAGTATGAGCCAACAATTCTGATCGCCAAACACCGATGAATGAATGAAATCGCGAATGGTGGGGATAACTCTGTGGAGTCATTGCAACAGAAATAATATTCCATCTTCATAGATATATCTTGACCATTCAATAAATCGGGATATCTATAAATGTACACATAGTACAGTTTTGAATAATGGTACGGAAACTAGTCACACAACAGCCAGAAAACCTTCAATAACAACAAAAACGACAAATGACATTTCTTACAACGATTATTGCTCGTCTCCTACGGAACTTTGGGGCCATGTTCATCTTTAGGAAATTCATGTTTTCATTTTGTTATGTATGTTCCTTACAATAACTAATTAATAATATATTTCATACAACTTAATGTGTATAAGTACAGTGTGTCCAATTTTCGATGCTTTTGCATGATATCTCAATTATCTTTGGAGATGGAACCTTGCGGTTTTCGCGATCCTGTGCTACTTTTTTGTGAAACTCAAGATGGCCTAATCAGATTTTGCAAGACTGTTGCCGTTAATGAGATACAGGGCGATTTTGAAAATTTATACTTTTTGGACCCCCTCTATATCCACGAAGTTTCTCAACAAAAATGTCAAATCGAAATCTTATAGCATAGAGAATTTCACGCATAATCCAGTGGCGCACCTAAATTTTTTTCTCGGGGTATGATTTTGGAGATACGACTCAAACTTATGATTTTTTTAAATGGAACACCCTGTATTTCATAAGCTCATTGAATTCCTTATTTTTTTGTCTTCAAAATGATATATGGAGAATGAATATAAAATTTTCAAAATTGCTCAAAATCACTAAAATATTGAATTTTGATAGTTGGATATGGATTTTTTTTATAAAAAACGTTCCAATTGAAGAAATATTTCTTCAAATTTTTCCATGGAGAGGTCAAAACCAATATCAACACTTATTAATTAACAAAACACTAAACTTGGGTACCTGATAGCAACAAATAAATAGTAATAAAAAGTTCATAATGTAGAATAAGCAACTGATTGAATATTTACTGAAATAATTGAATTTCGGAATTATTCAGTAACTTATTCATTGACATGTTCACATTTATATCCATATTCCCTAACATACAGTTGACAAACTTTCTTAATACTTCTTAATACAGTGAGTGGCCCAATATACTTGAAGAACTTTGTGCAACAGCAGAGGCAGTTTTCCAGGAATTACAAAGACATCTTTCAATGATGAATATGTATTGAGGAAGTTTGTGATGGAAAATGGACATCAATTTGAACAATTCAATGAATAAATCACTGAATAATTTCGAAATTCAATTGTTTTAAAAAATATTCAATCAGGTGCTTATTCTACATTATAAACTTTTTATTACTATATATTTGTGGATATCAGGTATCTAAGTCTTGTGTATTGCAAGTTAATTAGTGTTGAAATTGTTTTTTCCCCTTCATGGAACAATCAAAGGAAATATTCCTTCAATTGTCAATTTCTTTATATGAAAATCTCTCGGAAAACCCATAGCCCACTATTTAAATTCAATGTTTTAGTGATTTTTGAACATTTTTGAAAATGTTATATTCATACATCATATATTTTTCGAAGGAAAAAAAATAAGGAATTTAATGAGCTCATAAAATATAGGGTGTTCAATTTAAAAAATCATAAGTTTGAGTCGTATCTTCAAAACCACACCCCGAAAAAAATTTTTTTTGTTTTGTGCGCCACTGGATTCTGCATGGAATTCTCTATTGGTTAAGATTTCAATTTGACATTTTCGCTGATAAACTTCGTAGATATAGAGGGGGTCCAGAAAGTATAAATTTTCAAAATCGCCCTGTATCTCATAAACGGAAACAGTCCTGCAAAATCTGATTAGGGCATCTTGAGTTTCACAAAAAAGTGGCACAGGACCGCGAAAACCGCAAGGTTCTATCTCCAAAGATAACTGAGATATCATGCAAAAGCATCGAAAACTGGACACACTGTACACTATTGAATCAATCCTCACATATTGTAACATAATGTAACGTCAATTTGAAATGTGTCATACAGATTATTTGATACTTTCAATATTTCAGACACACCTTTCGTGTACTGGAGCTTTATAGTGCTTGGAGTGTGGAGTGTTCTCGAACTGGTAGGTCAAAGAATGCCCTCTTCCACACTACTAAGACTGAATAAGAATAGATAGACGATAGACACAGCAGTTCCTTCATGAACCATTAAAAAGTGAAGTTCAACAATCCTAATCGCCAAACACCGATGAATGATTGAAATCGCGAATGATGGGAATAACTCTGCAGAATCATTGCCAGAGAATTGATATTCCTTCTTCATAGATACATTTAGAACATTCAACAAATCGGGATTTCTATTAATATGTGAATTATCACTAAATTAACTCTCACGTATAGTAACATTAAATAATACGTGATTTTCAACGTCTTAGTGAGTTATTTGATATTTTGAATATTATAAACAAGCCTTTCAACTGTTGGAACTTTTTGGTACGGGGTGATTCACCATAAATGTCCCCCCCTCTAGCTCACTTATTTTTGAACCGTTTTGAAAATTTGAAAGATAATCTAAAATGATTTTTCTGAAATTTTTTTCCCGCTGCATCAGAAAATACAGGGTGCTCGGAACAAACGATCTACAGAGTACTAATTGATTTTTTTAAATGGAACACCCTGTATTTTATTGTATTTTTAGATCCTTCCTGAAGAGCTGATTTCATCAATGTATCACACTTGGGGTTTAGCGGGAATGATTACAGAGATATAGGGTGTTCAAAATCGAGATTTTTCAACTTTAGGATTTTTTTTTGCCGAAACTATTCATTATTGGTCAAAACGGCTTCTATGTTCCCATCCCAACTTTCGATTTACTATCTAGTGAAATTTAATTGGAACATTTACAGGGTGGTTCAAGATTCAGAATTCTGGTCACCCTGTATCTGTTCCAATTATTAAATGTCAGTAGATAGTGAATAAAAAGTTGAGATACGGACATGAAAACCGCGTGACCGATAATGAATAGTTTCGTCACAAAAAAAATCCTAAAATTAAAAATCTCGATTTTGAACACCCTATATCTCTGTAATCAGTCCCGCTAGACCCCAAGTGTGATACATTGATCAAATCAGCTCTTCAGGGAGAATCTAAAAATACAATGAAAAATAGGGTGTTCCATATAAAAAAATCAAATAGTACCCTGTAGATCGTTTGTTCCGAGCACCCTGTATTTTCTGATCTAGCGGAAAAAAACTTTATCGAGAATCATTCAAGATGATATTTCAAATTTTAAAATCGGTTCAAAAATAACTGAGCTAGAGGGGGGGGACATTTATGGTGAATCACCCTGTACTTCTGGAACTGATAGGGCGAAGACGTTTCTCTTCTACACAACTAAAGACGATATCTCAGACATAGCAAACCAGAGTCATACATTTAATGGAATCAACAGGGTATAGAGAAAACAGTTTTTCAGTGTGACTATAAACACTACCAGAAGAGGTATAATTGTCGGGCTGTAGATCTCAGAGGACTGTAACGCTGAAGAATCTTTTAGAAATTATGGATGAATTTTCTTCAAAGAATTAGCCGGAATTGTATACTTCATCACTGTCGCCCGCTTCACCCTACCGACAACGCCTTTGCCCTTGTCGGGGAGTCGTTTTTGAGGGTAGATAGTAAATCAGATGGACCATATACGCGGTTTCTTCTGCTGGAGTCTTTTGGTGCATCCGAGACAGCTAGGGTCCAGACTCCTCTCTCCGACACTACTAAAGACGAATTCTCTCAAAATAACCAACCAGAGTCATACATTCCACGTTATGAACAACGATTCATTCATGAATCATCAAAAAGTATACGCCAACGATCCTAAACGACAAAAACGGAAAAATGAATGAAATCGCGAATGGTGGGGATACATTTCCGAGATCATTGATAGAGAATCCAAACCCCTGCTAGATGAATACATTCAATACATAAACAAAATCGGCATTTTCACAAATGTGTAAATGTACACTCATATATTGACCCTTGCGTATTGTAACACGATGATACTTCATTCTGGAATAAGTATAGTAGAAGGATTATTCGATATTTTCAATATTCCGAAAACGCCTTCCGTCTGCTAGAGTTTTTTAGTGCTTGGGGTCTTCTAGGACTGCTTGAGAGAAGACTTATCTCTTCGACACTACTAAAGACTTCTCTCAGACTAACAAACCAGTGTCAGGCTTTTCACGATATCAACAAGGGAGTTACCTCAGATTAAATAACAATAGATATACAAAGCGATTCATCCGTAAATCATTGAAAAGTAGACGATATCAATCTTGAACGAAATGAATGAAATCACGAATGGTGGGGTGACTGCGGAATCATTACCAGAAAATCGATATTCCATCTTCATAGCTATATTTTATACATCTGTAAAATTGAGATTTCTATGAATGCAAATGTGAACTACTACAGATAATACGTCATTTTGAACCGTCTTACTAAGGTTATTTGATATTTACAACATTTCAATCACGCCTTTCGTCTGCTGGAGCTTTTTGGTGCTTGAGTCTTCTGGGACTGCAAGAACAAAAACTTCCCTTATCGACAGTACTGAAGACAACTCAAAGTAACGCACTAAATTTATACATATCCTTGCCTAGAACCACCCCATATTCTGGAATTTCTGAGAAATATTGGACTAGAGAAATTGCTATAGCTACGGAGAACAACTTCTTCAAATATAGCAAAGAGTGGGGCACAATCGAGGGCACAATTGATCTTTTAGGTTGCAATGTTTTCACCTCGATTTTTATTTCTTATGCTTACAATTCAATACAATATATGTTTCTTACAGTTTTCCGGTATTTTTCTTTTTTTGTCTCGTGACTCCTTGATTCAGTTGATTGTTATCTAGCCTTTCTTCTGCGTGTTTCTTTTCGTGAGGTATCCTGGAGGCGATTTGTTGCTGGAGGTTTGGAGTTAACTAGAATGTGTTTCATATCTCGCTCTGAGTATTGTTTTCCTGTATTGTCACTGAAATTCGCAAGAAATCGCTCGTTACATCATATATTGATATCGAGATTAATATGCCAATTTTAACAGTCGATTTGAAAGTTGAACATTAGGTGTTACTTATGCCAGTGAAGAAGTCGGGCTTGCACAATAAATCTTCTGTTGAAACAATCAAAAATAATAGCTATTCCTCGGGTTATTCATTATACAATGGAAAAAGCGGGAAAAAGGTACTAGATTTTACCTCCAGGTTGTATCCCGATGTCTATAGCGGAAGGAGAGGTGAGCTAAAATCTAATATTTTTCTTGAGTTTGATTCACTATTTTTTTATCTGACAGGAAAAGGACGAATCAATATTGAGAAGATAATAGGGGTATTCCAGAGCCCTCGTATCTGACTTCGTATATTTACGAAAATGGCGTACGTATTATTACGAAACCTCAAACACGGGAACGACCCATGGATAGCAATGTAAACTATCAGCTTATTCCGAAGCTTCCAGTGCGAAATTCATCATCTGTCTTGGAAACAGAGCTAGAACTGTATGACTGAAAATACAATTTCAATAATTCAAGTCCTTCTCCAAGATTGATACATAGTTTTTGTATTTAGTCTTGCCATTTTTAAAATATTTTTATCCAAATCAAAATTCTCAATACCAGAGATTAGTTACAATAATCAGAGGTATTTATATTATGCTTTATGCTCAGGCCACGCAGCTCAAACAATAAAAATTCGTTGATCATAATTTTGAATAATAACAATAACCCTAACCTCACCACTTGAAACACGGGACACGGGACAAAATTCTGTCAGAACAGTTTCGTAAGAACGGCAATTTTGTAATCTTACACAAGAAAATGGTAGTGTAAAGTTACGAAGGACCGCGTATCCTAATCGACCAATCAGATTAGTTTGCTGAATACGACGATACGAAAATACAATAATACGAAACATTATACGAGGACCGGGAATACCCCTATTATATTATAATAAAATCAGAAAATTATAGACGTGAAATTTGAAGTTATTGACAGGAATTGCAGCAGCGTTGCTGGCATCTTTTTGTAAGCATCTTTGTCATTCTTCTGAAATAATCAAATATATGTTAGTCTAATTCTGTGATTTGATTCTACAAACATTGCGAACTTAGTGGCTGTTTCGTAATTATGTGAACGCGAAGTGATATGGAAGACAAAAAACTTGCAGTTCTTTTTGAGAGACGGTGTAATTGGCTTATTTTTCGGAACTATAGCACACCGAAAGCACCGAACATAAACAGAGAATGTTCGGTGCCGAAAGCCATCAACAGTGTATATATACAGGGTGTTAACAAATAAGTGTCACAACGGAAAACTGTAGATTCCTCATAATAAAAGAAACATTTCTTTCCTCTTCAAAGGTTTCTCCGGGCTTCCGTTTTCAAGATACAGGGCGTCAAAAAATAAAAAATGTTCAGTTTGATTAAACACACTTCACAACACTTAATAAACTTAACAATTTGAAAACCAGCATCGAGACCAGCATACTCAAGAACCTGACATTTGATTGAACATATTATTAGACAGTTCTGAGGTGTTTATTTCCAGTGGATTTTTAGACGATTTTTGGAGATACCATCAGGATTATGTATGTTCTTATTCATAAAGAGCCATTTTTCACGGAAACTGTTCACTTTAGAGCAATGAGACAAGAGGACGTTTTTTGTGTGAGAGATATTGGGGTTTCAGAATCTACTTTGAAAATTACAATTTCTCCAGTGCCATAAATGTTTGGGGGGTTAAACCCTTACGAGGCGTTGAATTCTCCTCCACTGACATGCCCAAGGAAATTGATCAAGAGCCCTAAAAGTAGTCATTATTGATGATGAAGTGTGTACGAAGGCTTAACTCTGTAACTCGACGATTTCTGAGATAGTAGCAAAAAACAAATTTTTTTTGTATTTTTTTGACGCCCTGTATCTTGATAACGGAAGCCTGGAAAAAAATTTCGAAAGGAAAAAAATGTTTCTTCTTTCATGAGCAATCTACAGTTTTCCATTGTGACACTTATTTGTTAACACCTTGTATATATCCGGGAAAAATGTTGGGGAAAAAAGTAATTTTTGAAAAGTGATATTTCATAACCTGTCCTCGCTGTCAACAGAAATGACATGTCAAACTTTTTTCCCGTCACAGAAAAAATAGATATTTCACAGCCGCTGTAGCAAGGTGGTAAAGTATAGTACCTAATCCCCGACTTCATCGGTTTGCTCAACTTTCAGAAACCACAGAAAAATAAATGGCGGTAATTTCAAATTGGCCTACAGTTGTGATAAAAATTCTAATACATAAAACATGGTGTTTCAGGTCTAAATGTATTAAGGGGCTGTCTTGATTTTGACAGAATCCAACTTCATTTTTTGAAGTACTTATTATTAAGTACCTAAGTGCTGAATTTCAAAATTCAGACATTTTGATCCACCTCAGTATTCATAATCTATTTGGAAAAAAAATCGCCAGTTTTCACTAAAGGTCACTAGAGACAAATTAGATGAATAATATACATGAATTCGTTCGTTCGAGGGGTAAATCTCCTTGGAAGTCTGGTGTACACTCCGTTGGAAGTCTTTGAACTTTTTTGGGAGCCTTTGGATGTTTTTGGATGTCTTTGGATGTCCTTGGAAGTCTTTAGAAGTCTTTGAGAGTCTTTGGAAGTCTTTGGAAGTCTTCGGAAGTCTTTGGTCATTGGAAGTCTGGTGTACACATTTTTCCTGGAGATTTACCCCTCGCGTTCGTTAATATAAAGAACTTGTTGATTATTTTAGATACTTTTGAGCGACAGTTGCATTATTCACTAATTATTCATAAATTCTGATGAATCATAATTACCAGTGCAATATTATTGGAATTATATTAAGGTTATTGTGGAGGAGTTAACCCTCGAGTTAACCACTTTGTACAATATATGTGTACACTTGATGTCCAATTTCGATGTAATCAGTCCAATCTTGGCCTGATATTCCTATAATCTCACAATGTTAATGTCCAATCCTACGACTAATCTGTACATGTTGTGTTGAAGAATGCGGCATTATGAACACTTTGAAGCAACACCAATAATTAGCTTAATGCTCGGCTTAATGTTAATGCTACCAATCAAACTAGTAATTATGGACAGTGCATTTTTTTAATAGGTATATATATCTACTTTATCGCAATTGATGAATGATAAGCTTGATGAATAGTGAATAATGTAATAGGCACTGGAAAAAATCAATTTGATTAATTAGTCTAGGAACGGAGCAATCTACCGATACAGTTCACCTAATTTGACTCAAATGAAATTGAAATATCAAGACTTGAATTTTTTGCAATCAAATTGGATACTGGAGTACGAGTTTAATAAAAAAGTCTCAGAATCGAACTGGATAATGTCTCTGTGAGTTTTTTTTTTCGTTCTCTTCATATACAGGGTGTCCGGAAATTATCTCGGAAATTATGCGCTAAAAATCAAGGAGGTGATTCTACATGATGAAATAAAAAATTCTTTTCATATGTACGTGGGTCCGGAAATGCATAGTTTTCAACATACAGTGTGTTAAAACATTTAAACGAGATCGGTTTTTTATGAATATCTCAAATGTCCTTCTACCAATTTTCCTGAAATTTGGCAATGATATTCTTTGTCATGAGGGGCGGATATAGCCATAATTCAATTGGGATTATAAAATCCAGTTGCGTCCCAGGGGGCAACCTACCGAATATTATTGTCAATAAAATATGCGCAACTGATTTTTTTTTATTCTGTATCTTCATAACCTATTGAACAACTAGAAATACAACATTATTTTGATAATTTGCTTCGTTTCTATGGAAAAAAATAATTACCAATTTATTGCATTAGTTTGTGCCAAAAAATTCCTTCAAAAACTGAGGTGAAAATGAATGCGGCATCAATGTCCATAGATAGAGAATAAGTATGAAGATCTCGATGAAGATTCATTCTCTTAAAATATTCCTTGATACATGTTTGACACACTCTACACTCTGTATATTGAGAACTATGTATTCTCGGTCCAGGAAGGCGTAGTTTTCGATAATATAAAGTGTGTCAAACATGTATTATGAAATATTTGAAGAAAATGAATCTTAATTCTTATTCTACGTCTATGGACATGGATAACACATTTAATTTCAACCCTGTTTTTTGAAACAATGTTTTGCACAAATTTATACAATGAATCGGTATTTATTTTTTTCCACGGAAACGCAGCAAAATTGCGAAACAATTCAAGGGACTAAAATGTTGAATTTCTAGTTAATCATTAGGATATGGAGATAGAGAATTCAAAAAAATCAGGGGCGCACATTTTATTGACAAAAATATTCGGTAGGCGGGACGCCACTAGATTTCACAATTCTAATTTGAAAATAATGGCTGAATCAGCCCCTCATGACAAAGAATATCATAAGCAAATTTCAAGAGAATTGATGAAGGAATATTCGAGATATTCATAAAAAAACGTTTTTTTCTAAAAAGTTCAACACACTGTATCTTGAAAACTCAAGTATATATGAAATAAATGTCATGTTTTCTCATGCAGAATCACCCCCTTGATTTTTGCGAATAATTTCCGGACACCCTGTATATCGGGGCAGATCTACGAAATTTTGCTATCCAGGTTGTGGGTTTAAGGATAAAAAATGTCTATTTTTCCCGATTTTTCCTGAAGAAGGGACTGTGTTCTATTTATATCGTATTAAAGGATTAAACAAAATGGCTTGGAAGTCATGACCTTATAAAAATTTCGTCAAAATCAAGATAACGACATGTACCTACTCATGGACATATCAGTGTGGGTGATTCTTGATATAGTTATATCATATGATGCTCGGTGTGATGTATTCAAATCTGAAACACCATGAATATACTGGTATAGGTATACTGGTTTGTGCAGATGGGTTTCTTATTATAGGTACACAATATTGATGTTAGTATTTCGTTTATCAATTTCTCGAGCAATTTTAATTATTGCAGA